AAAACATCTCCCCAGCCTTTCTCTGGAGAATTTTGAGAGCACAATGAGACCACAGTTTGGAGCAGGACAAGGTTGGAAGAACAAAAGGAGTAAGGTATTTCATGTTAATTGGAGAATGCCATTTAAATGAGGCAGGGTTCAGAGCCAGGGTTGGGTTTTTTTTGTTGTTGTTGTTTTGTTTTGTTTTTGTTTTTGTTTTTGTTTTTAACCTGGATGATACTGACATTTGTGGTTTGATGATTCTCTCTTGTGAGAGGTTGTAGTTTGCACTATAGGATGTTAACTCCTGGGCCCTGGTCTCTATCCACTAAACACCTCTATTGTTCTCCTTGTCTCAGTTTGCCTACTGAAAGTCTCGAACCATCTCTAAATGCCCCTAGAATCTGGAAGGAAACCAGTTGCTTACACTTGAGAACTATTATTTTGGATAATTCCTTCATAATCCTTTTCCAAAGGCTTCTTTATACCTAGATACACTTGTCTGACTTCTGTCCCCTACCCTTAATTTTATTTATTTATTTATTTGTTTGTTTGTTTGTTTATTATTGTAGGCAAGTTGTCCTATAGCTCAGACTGGTCTTCAACTCACTATGTAGTTGAGGATAATCTTGAATTTCTGATCTTCTGTCACCACTTTCTAAAATTGGGATTTCAGATATGCACCTTCATGTCCAGTTTATACAGTGCTGGGGTTGAATCCAGAGCTTCATGCCTGCGAGCTGAGCACTCTACCAGACAAGGTACATCTCCTACTGCCCTTGAGCATTATATGAATGCAAATTCAGAAAGCCACTGCATAGTCTTGAATTTTATATATCCTCGCCATGGATATATGATTGCAAAACCTCACAGAGACACCTTGGGAACTCAGTGAGTCAGAAGGTTTTCTGAAGGGTGTAGCTCAGAGGAAATATTAAGTAAATGTCTTTTGTCATTACTGGAATTTAATGTCCGTGACCTCGACTCCTAGTACCGTTTTGTTCCCTGATGCCTCATGTCCAATTAAGTGGTCAGTAAACATTACTACAGTCGTCATAACTGTTGCTATGGGGATTGGCACTCAAGCTATCTCCAGATCCTCCATCATTCTTGACTTCTCTGCCTGACATTTTGACCCTCATTCATTCTTTTCTGGAAACTCCCTTCATAAGACTTAGTATATTCGTCAGAGCTTCCTCTAACTCCACCTTGCCTGTGGCATTTGAAGTGGGGAGAGGGGTTCACTTCCTTGTTTTTGAAATCTACTTTTCAGGCTGATTGGATGACAACACTGTGAGTATTTTTTCTTTCTCTTTCCAGCTGTATAACTTGATTTGACAATTAAAAGTTAGTTCTCATCCACATAGATAGTAGTTCCTTCCCTCCTTCCTTTCTTCCTTCCTTCCTTCCTTCCTCTCTTTCTTTCTTTCTTTTGAGTCAAAACACTTTATTTAGAGGCTTGGGGAAAGGTTGGAGAAGTCCACTCTGTTTGCAGTGCAGACCTTAGAGATTTCCTCATCACTAAGAGAGACAGTAGATTTTTTTTTTTAATGTGGTAACAGGGACCTAGCATATTAAAGTACAGAGTTTGTCTGATGAATACTTTTTTCTTTATGTTTTCTAGACAAAAACACATGGATACTGTATGGAACTTTTCTGACCCCAGTATCAATGTACGCATTTGGAATCCTTATCTCCTTCCTGAACAGTTTTTTTATATATAGTTTAAGGAGGACATGTCTTAAAATACACTCATAGATGAGCTTGATCAAAATACATTGCACACACATATGAAGTACTTAAATAATAAGAATTTAAAGTGGAGAATGATTAAGGAAGGCACCTGCTCCCACATGCACACACATACATGCACAAATAGACCAGCATTCAGATCTGTACTCAACAGACATACACACACAGGGTGGGGAGACTATCATGGTTGATACCTATAACCCCAGCATTAGGATGTTAAGATGCTAGAATTGTTATGTGTTTGAATGACTGCCTAGAATACCCCAATGAGAGGCTAGGAGTATAAGTGGCAGACAGAGCTGTGATCTAGAGCCATCCTGTGAGAGGCTAGAGAGATATGGCTCAGTTGAAGAGTACTCGCCTAGCTTGTATGAGGTCCCAATCCTTCTGACACACTCCTCACACAACTGCTTTATAGAAGAGGGAAAATGCTAGCTTGGTGATGACTAGAAATTATTTACATCACCTAGTAGGTGCTCAACAAACAATAATTATGATTGCCTATAGTGAAACGAAATCCACTAATCCTGCTCTGCTTGCTGTTTATTTTAAAGATTTATTTTACTTCTAATTATGTCTGTGACTGTGCCTGGACATGTGTATATGAGTCGAGTGACCATGGAAGCCAGACAAGGGCATCAAATCTGTTGGGGCTGGAGTGGCAGGCAGTTGTGAACTGTCTGAATAGGTTCTGGGAACTGAACCAGGGTCCTGCTTGCTCTTTTACAAAGGCAGTACAGCATTTGAGCACGGGCCTCATGGCTGATGATGCATGAGAGGCTTGTGTTTCCTAGAGAAAGTGCTAGAACTGGGTAAGCTCCCCAATGCCGGAGCTTAGGGAAGCAATGGCTTGGCTTCTGCTTCTCCGTGTTCACTTTTCTTAGGTAGGGAACACCATGGAAGGGACCGAACTGAAAAGATCAGACACAAGTCAAGCTCAACTTCTGCTGTTCCTTTCCGCTACTTCCTCTTCCTGTGTTCTCTTTGGAAAACTCCCTTCTTACTCTCCCCTCCCCTGGTACAACTGATTCCAGCTGACCCTTCTGCCTTGGGCTCTGAGAACACCTGTTCCAGGAAGCCTGACCCCTTCTCCACCCATTTCCACGTTCAAGTCTGATGTCTCACACTGACTTACTGGCCACAGTTCAACCCTGTCAGTTTTCATTTGTCCATCACCCGTGAGACGTATGCTCAGAGAAGGATGGGATGTTTATTTTAAAAGTGGCATAAGGAGGGCTTGCAGGCCAGTGGGTCAGTCAGTCTTCAGGAAATTTCCAGTAGGATGGTGACCACAGAGGTGGGAGGTGGAGGTTATTGAGAAACTTGTACCAGCTAGAGGTTTATGGAGTTTAGTTCCAGATACAAGATGTAAGAGGGACATGAGGGCCTGAATCACAAACTCCGTTGCCCTGAGCACCTGCACTCACTCAACTTCTTGGAGACGGGTGATCTTAGATCCACCATAACTGGCTGGTGGAAGGCTAGAAAGACGAAGATCTCCCACGTGCCCAGATGAGAGGACTGAAGGATCTAGGAGATCCCGTTTCTTGCCCCAGTTTATTTTTAATAAGAAATTGAGGGAAGTGTTTGGCGAGAAAGCTAAATCAGTATATTTAGTAATGCTTGCTTTGCAAGCAGGGAAACCAACCTCTAAAGCCCTGAGCTGTACTCACTGTGAGTATGGTGCTGTGTTGGTGTGGTATGTTGCTGTGCATCTATACTCTCTGTGTGCGCACACACGGTGCTGTAGTGGTGTGCAGTACATCTGTACTCTCTGTGCACACACACGGTGCTGTAGTGGTGTGCAGTACATCTGTACCCTGTGTGC